TCCCAACAGCCTAATAAGATTTTAAAATTGTGGTATTCTAAAGTATCCATTCTCTTGGTTCAAATTCTGTATTTTTTTTTAATGCATTTTAAATTCTGTGCCTCATTTCTACTTCATTTTCAAGCTTCTCAAACAGATGTATACTGAATTTTCATTAAAAAAGTATTTTCCACTTCTTTCCGATGAAAACATAGAGCCTTCTAACCACAATAGCATTCCTATAAAGAAACTACCTTTATAAAAATATGCTGGTTCTCTGTTCCTATGTAATAACAAATACATTGTAACGTTGACAGCTGCAAAGCATGAAATATTTACAGATGAAATACAAACCTTGTTAAGAACAAATTCACTGAATAAGAGAAAATTAATTCTCTTTAAAATAAAAATTAAATCTTTCTTAATTTAACTATTAAGCTTAATGGCAGTAGATGCACCCTTCCCCTGGTATTTTCTCTAGAAGTTCTATACCAAATGCTTCAAGAATAAAGAAGTCATATAACTGCTGTGGGATTCAGGACTGAGGTATTCTCATTCTTCTGACTTTTCAACAAGGTATACATAAGAAAAAAATCACAACGGAAAAACTCCTGTGCCAATACTGCTGTAAATGAGACAGTTATGTCTGGATGCCAGTATTAACTGCCAGCAGTGGACTTATCTCAGGATACGTACATGCTAAAAATAAGGAGTGTTGTCTGCATGTTCTGTTTTCCAAAGTACTAATACAAAGATGTCAGAGAGGAAAAAAAAAAAATTCTCTCAAAGAGTTAGAAACATTTGCTGACTTTATAAGGATAAAAACCAGTGTATTTTGTGGATTATGTTTTTGTCCCTTCCTTTGTTTATTTAATAAATTTTCCGCTTATTTAATTTACTGAATTCTGGTCCTCTGGCAGAACTTGAGGTTTCCCAGGACTTAAGGAAATCTCAGCAGCAGCTTTTTTTTTTTTTTTAAAAAAAAAAAAGTCAAAAAGGTTCTCTCCCTCTCTTTATCTCACTTCTCCTTTCAGATAATCTGAATGTTTAAACTATGATGAGAAGACAGTATCTGGAAAATAAAAGATGAACCCACTTGATGCAACAAAATCGGGATTTTTAGTGTGTATTGCTGTCTGTATGTTCATCTACACTTTTATCTACCTAAAGGATACACTTTCTGAAGAGCCAAATGATCAAAGATTTAATGCAAATATAGCAGAGTGTGGCTTTTACCCAGATGAACTTTGTTCAGCTCTTTTTGCGGGGAAGACTGCTGCCTTTAAAATTGGAAACTTTTGTCAGAACACCTACCAACCTAAAACACTCAGCTGCATTCAGACTTCATGCAACTGCTCCACGGTTTTGAAGACTCTGCATTTTATCACACGACCACTGTCAGATGAAGAAGGAAATTTCTCATTGGCATACATTATCACAATTCACAAGGAGCTGGAAATGTTTGTAAAGCTGCTAAGAGCTATTTATATGCCTCAGAATATTTACTGCATCCATGTTGATGAAAAGACACCAAAACATTATAAAGCTGCTGTACACAGCATCATTAATTGCTTTGAAAATATTTTTATTTCCTCAAAAAGAGAAAATGTTGTCTATGCAGGATTTTCAAGATTACAAGCTGATATTAATTGCATGAGAGACCTAGTTCATTCTAAAATTCAGTGGAATTATGTAATTAATCTATGTGGTCAAGATTATCCCATTAAAACAAACAAAGACATTATACAATACATCAAAACTAAATGGAATGGTAAAAATATGACTCCCGGGGTAGTCCAACCACTTCACATGAAACACAGGACACAGGTTAGTTACAGAGAATATGTAAGTTCTGGAATGTCATACGTGTATCCAACAAAGAATATAAAAGCTAAACCTCCATATAATTTGACAATATATTTTGGTAGTGCCTATTACATACTCACTAAAGAATTTGTAGAGTTTACATTGACTGATGCACGTGCAAAAGATTTGCTTGAATGGTCAAGAGACACGTACAGTCCGGATGAACACTACTGGGTCACACTGAACCGTTTAAATGGTAAGATGTACGTTATTTCTGCTATGAATAACCCCTGGACCAACAGCATTATAAGGTCTCTGACATGGAGAGCTAGTGAGCTTCAATTCAGAGCTTAACACCACCACTTAACTGAGTTACATTGCCTAAACATGGTCTTCAGCCTTGATAAATACGGTCTTCAGCCTTGATGCTGCCCTTTCAAACAATCACACCTCCTGATGGCTGAAAAATAAAGCTTGATTCCAGAAAACTACTACTTATGGTGCAGATCATTAGCTACAAGGCTAGAAGAATGTTGATTTTAAAAAAGGAAATCTTTTTGCTCCTGCTCTGAGGAATTAAAAAAGCACTAGAACTGAGAATGATATCTGTTCTTATGATGTAAATATATCTAAATAAATACTTAACACAGCTACATTTCAGCAGCAAAAATTTCCTCTGTAATAAGTAGAAAGAACTCTTATCAGAACCTTGTTTTTAAAGATGCTCCAGGGGCTACACCCAATGCAGACTGGGAAGGAAACATACGAGCCATTAAATGGAAAGATCAAGAAGGAACCATACACAAAGGCTGCAAAGGTAATGTGAGTTTTGATCATGAACTCCAATTTGAGTCACTGACTGGCACTCATTGCAAATTACCTATCATTCTTTAAACTAGCAATTAAATGTGCCATAGTGGTCATGCATATTTTATTTTGGAAGTATCAAGTAAAACAGCAAGTGATCCCACCAAATTACCCCACTGTATCCAATCTAAACAGTTTCTGACATATTCTTGCAAAGATTGTCACAGTATCCATATACTGACAACCCTTCTTTCAACCTCTAATTACCAATCCATTACCTTGACTGATCAGTTTTCAGTGAAGAGTCGGGGGTTTACCTGACAAGTATGTTTGTCAGATACTTCTATCAACACTGGGTTAAATCTCTTCAACTTGAACAATAATAACAAAGGAGAATAGTGCTGACCATAAAGAATGCAAAAAAAAAAAAAAAATTTACAATATTTAACTGTATAAACTCAGCACAGAAGTATTGCAGATTAAACAGGTGACCTAACAGAAGATCAGAACTTCATGCCCAACTACAAGACACAATATTAAGCAGAGCAAGGTGTCATTGAAACAGCTGGAGGTAACATGTATCCACTTGTGTAAACACAAGACCAAACCCTCACCTTTATGTTTAAAATCTAGCATTATGTTCCACATATATTTCAATGATACTCCATGTGAAATAAAAAGGTAATTTTTGTTAGTAACACTATAGAGTGAAACTATTTTTTAAACCATTCTGTTCAGCTTTCTGCTGCTTTCAGATACCTTCAATTTGCCTTTTCAGGTCATTACATCAGAGACATTTGTGTCTACGGACTAGGGGATTTGCAGTGGATTATTGAGTCTCCTCATCTGTTTGCCAACAAATTTGAGCCTGCAACATACCCACTGGTTATGGATTGCCTGGAGAGACGCCACAGGCTTAAAGTACTGCACCAGGCAGAAGTCCCGATTGAAGACCACTGGCGTTTTCAGGAAGAGAACTACTTCAACATGAAGCTGAATGTTTGAGTTTAACTAGCACCTAAAGTGTTCAAAATACCAACAGAAACCATTAACGTTTTTAGCCACAGACTTCACTCTGTGCATTACAGCACGAGGGTAAACACAACACTGTACTACCAATCTGCCAGTGAAATAAACAGTTCTTATTTATTACAGTAAGATAAAGAACAACAACTGCTAATGAGTTAATTCTCAAAGAAAAGGACATGTCTAAATCTGTAACTTACTGAAGACAAGAGCGAAGTTCATAATTAAGTGACTTATTTAACTGGAAAAATACATATTCCTCATGTCTACAAGCAAAAAAAGGAGTAACTGGTATGAAAACAATAAAATAGAAGCAACGACTTAACAAGGAGAAAGTATGAAGTCCACAAGTTAAAGTCATGTCTACTGTATGTTTTATAAAATAGATTATTTTGAATAATGAAGTTCCCACTAAAATTTCAGAGCTTGTAGATAAGCCAGTGACAACCAGTTTCAGAGACAGTCAGTTTCAATGGTGTTTTGTTTGTTTGCGTTTTTTCATGGCCAGCTGCATCTCTAATTTCATTATGTAGCAACATCACTCCCAGACTCTGCAGGCCTTGCTCCTAATGAAAAGGGTGTGTGTGCCAGTAACAGCAACACAGGTCCTGCAACGCATATTTACCTTCATGTCCCTGTTTCTCTGCAGGAGTTTAGGGCAAGGAGACATGGGAAATTTGAGGCCAGGGAACAAAGCAAACTGAATGAAAAGCCATCTTTCAATCCCAGTGTACCTGACTGAAGGAAACAAAACTTCCCTGAACCTTGGAACAGGCTGCAGCAATTGGAGATAACACCCAGCAGCAACCATGACAAGCATTTAATTTCCCAAACCCCCTGCAGACCAAACGCAGCACTTACTGGTCTACAGTAAGAAAGTGGCTTTTAACACACAACACAGGCAAGAGCAGGGAAAAGTAACAAAAAAAAGAACAAGGATCCAGCCCTTTTGCAGGCAAGAGTTGCTTTTTCCTCTTCAGGACTCTTAAATTAATCCTTTCACTTGTGCAACCAGAAAGACTGGGGGAATACAAGGAAACAGAGGATATAGGTGGTGGTCTTCAGAGAATGTGACCACTTTTCCACAGGATTAAGCCTCTGCACAGTGGTCAAAGGTCTTTATTTAGGTGCTACTGATGGAAAGAGATGAGGAGAAACCTGGATTGTGAGAGGTAATTTCAAATTGTTCATTGTCCTTTAGAAGTATTTGGCAAGAATGCAGATTAAAGTTTAATTCCAGCAAATCCAAATAAACTCCCAACTATTTTGCATGAACTCTGATGGGAACTAATAAAATACATCCTGTTACTTACAAGCTCACTTGATCAGAAACTACAAATTATAAATAAACGTCTAGGAGTGATTGAGATGTAAGCTTCAACATGCACCCAAAACATCAATCAGTTTTTACAGGAAAACTGACTTACAAATTAAGTGTTTTTTTCTGCAAAAAAAACCAAATGACTCAACAAATGACCCAACAATAGAACATTAAAGTTTCTTATTACAGACTTATTCCCAGGTTCCTGGAACTGTACTGCTCGTTTTCCCACATGAGTTTCTTGGAAACATAATTTCTTTTGAATGAACTTTAACCTAAAGAAAGACCATCTGGTCCCTATTTATTTACAGAATCTCACAAACTCAACCCAAAGGCCTGTATTCGGTTTCATGCATAATCCAGGACTTGTGGCTAAATATTGCTGGAGACTTTTTTTTATGGAGGGAAATAAAGAAAAGGTCAAAAAAAGCCATGCAGCATCTTCACACTGAGCTTGTTTAGAGTCACAGAATCACAGAATGTCAGGGATTGGAAGGGACCTCAAAAGATCATCCAGTCCAACCCCCCTGCTGGAGCAGGAACCTCAATGAGATCACACAGGAAGGCGTCCAGGTGGGTTTTGAATGTCTCCAGAGAAGGAGACTCCACACCCTCCCTGGGCAGCCTGTTCCAGTGCTCTGTCACCCTCACTGTGAAGAAGTTTCTTCTCAAGTTTAAGCGGAACCTCCTGTGTTCCAGCTCACACCCATTGCTCCTTGTCCTATCATTGGGCATCACTGAGAAGAGCCTGGCTCCATTCTCGTGACACTCACCCTTTATATATTTATAAACATTAATGAGGTCATCCCTCAGTCTCCTCTTCTCCAAGCTAAAGAGCCCCAGCTCCCTCAGCCTTTCCTCATAAGGGAGATGCTCCTCTCCCTTAATCATCTTGGTCCCTCTGAAAAACATCACTGAAGCTAATGGGTCTCTGGTATGTATTAATCATAGGAATATTCATAATCAATTTCTCTCCAAACCACACCAAATCCACTGCAGGGCACTGCTAGCATTTATCCACTCCATATTGTCTTTTAAAATGTGAACGGAACGTTCCTCGTTACCATCACTGCAGCAAATCCAGTATCTAGCTTCCGCCTTTCATCACCATCACACTAAAATTGTTGTGTCTGACTTCTGAATTGAATTAAAAGGATAAATTCAATAGCAAGGCACTATATATCATGGGCTTGTTTTGCAGAAATTGTACCAGTCAAACTGGGAAAAAAAAATCTGCAAAAAATCCCCTCTTAAAATATAATTTAGTTATGACTTTATCCATGTCAATCCAGGAAAGCATTGGAGCATGATCTCCTTCCTTAAAGGATTTTGTATTTTATATGTAAGTTTTATATATATATAAGCCAGCCACGAAAATAATAATTAAATGACCCCATTCTCAATCATTAATAGTATTTTAGTCATTATTCTGAGTGACCATAACCACATTATGTCCTTGAAAGATTTTTTTACCTCTAAGAACAAAAAATTTAATAAAACTGTGAAAGCTGAGAGCATTTAAACATCCATAAAAAGCTTTCATTAAGTTCTGTATGTGTACATCTCATGAGTAAATCAGTCACAACTGTCAGATCTCAGCAACCAATGTTTACTAACTTTTGGTGACTGCTGATCTAAGAGCATTTATTCAGTGTCAATGTGACCTTGTTCAAGGAAACACCCCGATCGATAACACACTGCACACGCGTTAACTCTGTATCTGAGAGACAGACGCAGAATTTCTGTTTCCAAAAGCCCGAGGGGCACGTTCAATAGCTCTATGTGTAAGTTAAACATTCAACTTTAACGTAGCAGCACAGACTTTAATAGTTAGGGACTATTTCAAATGTGTATTAGTCTGTTGACTCTGAAAACAATTGTAAAATAAATTTTTGAAGTGATACAAGAAATCACATTTTAAAATGTAATCTTGTCCTTAAC